ACAATGGGGACAATGGGGACAGTGGGGATAATGGGGATAATGGGGACAATGGGTGACATCACACCACCTTGGACGAGGGCGTCACCTGGGGACAGAGAGTGACATGGGGACAATGGGGACAGTGGGGACAGTGGGGACAATGGGGATAATGGGGTCACCATGGGGTCACTAGGGGGTCACTTCAGGGGTCAACTCAGAGGTGACCTTCAGGTCACCTTCAGGTCACTTTGGGGGTCACCAAGGCTAAACTCTTGGGTTAATTCATGGGTCAGCTTAGGGTCACCTCAGGATCACTGTGGGGTCACTGTGGGGTCACCACAGGGGTCACTTCAGGGGTCATCACCGGCTCAACTGTTGGGGCATGACCTCAAGGTCAACTTGAGGTCAACTCTTGGGTCCACTCTGGGCTCAGCTCATGAGTCCCCTCAGGGTCACCCCTTGTGGCCATCTCTCCGGTCACTCCTCAGGGTCACCCCTTGGGGTCACCTCTTGGGGTCACCCCTCGTGTCACCCCTCCGGCTGCTCCTCATGTCACTCCTCGTGGTCACCTTTCATGTCACCCCTGGTGTCACCCCTTGGTCACTCCTCAGGGTCATCCCTCAAGGTCATCTCTCCAGTCACCCCTCAGATCACCTCTCGTGGTCACCCCTGTGGTCACCCCTGGTGTCACCCCTTGGTCACTCCTCATGTCACCCCTTGGTCACCCTCGTGCCACCCCCGTGTCCCCCCCGATGTCCCCCTCGCTGTCCCACCTTGATCAGGTCCCCCAGCAGTTTGTTGGCCTCGGCGTAGGCTCTCTTGACCTCCTTGAATTTGTGTCCGAGCCCCATGGCGTGGGCCTGGAAGTGCAGGTTGGTGTACTGCCCCCCCGGGATCTCGTTCTCGTACACGTCCGCGTTCCCCGACTTCATGGTGGCCGTGCAGTCAAAGGCGGCGTAGAGAGCCCGAGCCCCCTCCCAGTACTCGCTGTACTCGAACACGCGCTCCAGGGGGATGCCTGGGGACATTGGGGACATTGGGGACATTGGGGACATGTGTGACAGGGACATTGGGGACATGGGGACATGGGGATTGGGACACAGGGACATGGGGACACACAGGGACAGAGCCCGAGCCCCCTCCCAGTACTCGCTGTACTCGAACACGCGCTCCAGGGGGAT